GGACACTAAAGCCTCGAAATCATCTCAAGATAACACCACCCTAGTGCACGTGGTGGCGGCGTGTAGGCTCAAGATAACCCAGGGCCCAGGATAACACGTTATCACCTCTTCCTTACTACACCACTAATGCTAATGATCGCAAATCCTTATCCTGATCCTGACCAAGTGCTATATAGTCGTAACGGCTTGGCGCTTTCCCCCTGATAATTCCTCCTCCTCCACATTCACTCCAAAAAAATCTACCACTTAATCTTTATCAATCAATAAATGTTCTTATTGCGGGCTCACTATAGCCCGTGCTACATCGAAATTTTGTTAGAGTAGATGAATCAACGACATTTTGTTAGAGTAGATGAATCAGCGACATTTTGTTAGAGTAGATGAATCAACGACATTTTGTTAGAGTAGATGAATCAACGACATTTTGTTAGAGTAGATGAATCAGCGACATTTTGTTAGAGTAGATGAATCAACGACATTTTGTTAGAGTAGATGAATCAACGACATTTTGTTAGAGTAGATGAATCAGCGACATTTTGTTAGAGTAGATGAATCAGCGACATTTTGTTAGAGTAGATGAATCAGCGACATTTTGTTAGAGTAGATGAATCAGCGACATTTTGTTAGAGTAGATGAATCAGCGACATTTTGTTAGAGTAGATGAATCAGCGACATTTTGTTAGAGTAGATGAATCAACGACATTTTGTTAGAGTAGATGAAACAGCAACAATATAATGGTCTTATACCACGTAGGCAGCCCACCAGTGCAGCTATACCATACAGGATTGATGTGATTGATGAAGATTAAGTCAACGAAGAGGGTGCACGGGCATGAATAGCCCCGTAAATAATATGTAGGCAGGCTACAGGTCTCTTGTACCTCACAGGTTGGTCCGCCATGTACCAGTGCCACTCGGATAGGTCACTCAGGTCGGCCACTCAGGTCGGCCACTCAGGTCGGCCACTCAGGTAGGCCACTCAGGTAGGCGAACGGCAAGTGTAAGGTGATGGAAGTGGGAACAGGCAACCTGAGAGCTGAGTGGACGGTGCTCGGGATTCGTAGTCATAAGGGTCCGGGTTCTATCCCCGGCGGAGGCGGAAACAAATGGGCAGAGTTTCTTTCACCCTGATGACCCTAGAACCTTCAACAGACCAAACGGACGGTATACAATGAAGGGAAACTACCTCCCTCTAACGACTATCAGGTGAAAGCGCCAAGCCATTACGACTATATTGCACTGGGAAGGGGTCAGGATAAGGATTTGGGATGGGACGAGGGGAAGGAATGGTGCCCAACCACTTGTGGACGGTCGGGGGATTCACATCCCACTTGGGAGTGGACATAACACCAAACCTTCCTCCGGAGGCTCGTGTTAAGAGGGTAACAGCAGTCTCTACACCCTAACAAGTCAAAAGAGAACACAGGTTCACTTGCCAGTTTGCGTGTAGACTATTATTGAACCGTAATAGGCTTTCAGACCCTCGCAAATGTCTAGATAACTATCCAGGTGTTTAACTAGGCTGGCTGGCCGGTCATTAGAACTGCTGTACCCTGAGAACTGCTTCTCCATCACCTTGTCTCTACTTCTCTCCCTCCCTCCCTCTTTCATCCCCCCCCCCCTCCCTCCCTCTCTCCCAGTGGGACCAAACAATCCCCTTCCCACCGTCCAAGAATGTTTAAACCTAACAAACCAGCTCAACATTGTAGAGCGTAGTGGTAAACAGACCAGTTACATCACCTCACCTGCCGTAAACACTCAGAGTAATCCATCTCCTCTACCAGTCTGAAAGTAATCAAGTGTTGAATAGCAACACGTGTATATAGCCTTTTTGTTCTTCCATTAAGCAGGTTTATTTCATCCGCTTACATAACATTTTAAACGATCTCCGGGAAAGAACGGTTAACGGTTCGTAACGGTTTATAACGGCTGAGAGCGGTTAGCCACCTAGTAACGGGCGCTAGGATCGCTCAACAGATGGCTAGGATGACCATAAGCACACTCAGACTATCCCATCTGGTGGACTGGACGGGATCACACTTATTGCTTGTATTTAATTCTTATTTATATATAAACAATATGATAATTTATATAAGCAAGAAGATAATTTTCTTTAAAGATTTAAGATTTAAATAGTAAATCAAATATATATTAACCTAATTATATTTGACCTGTTGTAATCCATGTTGTGGGTGGTGGTGGACCCCATACCCATGCTGTGGGTGGTGGTGGACCCTATACCCATGCTGTGGGGGGGGTGGTGGACCCCATACCCTTCCTCTGGGTGGTGGTGGACCCCATACCCATCCTGTGGGTGGTAGTGGACCCTATACCCATCCTGTGGGTGGTAGTGGACCCCATACCCATCCTGTGGGTGGTGGTGGACCCCATACCCATCCTGTGGGTGGTAGTGGACCCCATACCCATCCTGTGGGTGGTAGTGGACCCTATACCCATCCTGTGGGTGGTAGTGGACCCCATACCCATCCTGTGGGTGGTAGAGGACCCCATACCCATCCTGTGGGTGGTAGTGGACCCCATACCCATCCTGTGGGTGGTAGTGGACCCCATACCCATCCTGTGGGTGGTAGTGGTAGTGGACCCCATACCCATCCTGTGGGTGGTAGTGGACCCCATACCCATCCTGTGGGTGGTAGTGGACCCCATACCCATCCTGTGGGTGGTAGTGGACCCCATACCCATCCTGTGGGTGGTAGAGGACCCCATACCCATCCTGTGGGTGGTAGTGGACCCCATACCCATCCTGTGGGTGGTAGTGGACCCCATACCCATCCTGTGGGTGGTAGTGGACCCCATGCCCATCCTGTGGGTGGTAGTGGACCCCATACCCATCCCGTGGGTGGTAGTGGACCCCATGCCCATCCTGTGGGTGGTAGTGGACCCCATACCCATGCTGTGGGTGGTAGTGGACCCCATACCCATGCTGTGGGGGGTGGTGGACCCCATACCCATGACTATGATGATCCCCTCCACCATCCAGTGGTTGGAGGAGAAAAGACTAGTCACGCACATCTACGACCTACAGCTAGCAAACTGGGCATATTTGGATAATATTTCTGGAAGTAGATTATTTTCAATTTAATATTTAAACATATTTTCTGAACAGTTGCTCAAGAATTTGATGGTGTTGTCTGTACTGAAGGTGATTAAGATGCTTTCACAAGCTTAGGTCATATAATTACATTATATAACTGATGCATAACATAGTCAATCTTGGGTACAAGTCCAATATATCATCAAGTGTTCCAGTACTCATATAGTAATTACACAGTTCAGCATACCTTAGCCCAGGAGGGCGAAAGTCAGTCAATATGGGACATTCTACAATATAATGTTCAAGAGAGTGCATGTTTTTTCTTTCACAAAGTTGACACATTGTGTACTCGACATTTGGGTTTTGAGAAAGCTGCCAGATACGTCTATATCCCAGGCGTATTCTGGCCACTATAACATCACATTGCCGGGTTCTTGCTCTATTAGTCCCATATATAAATGTCTCCTCGCGGGACATTTACTCACAAATAGCTGTTCGAGAGACATAAATGTCTTATAATAATATTGAATGTTACAGCTTTCAGGTCGTTGTGAATTTGTTAGGTCAGTAAGATTTTCACCAGACATTCGCTTAAGTATTCTCTTGGTCACTGGTAAGGAAACACATATTCATTTCTACTGCTGGTGTGCTACAGGCTGTCTTTGCCAGCATGTCAACAGTGTCAGGCCTTGAGATGTCAACATGTGATGGTCTCCAAAGGAATTTAATTACAAATCTGTTTTCCTTAGCAGCTAAAACATTCATTCGAATATCGCAGACTATTTTCTGGGTGTTACTACTATGTGCGTTCACTGCCAGGAGTGCACTCTGCCTAGCTGATGACGGGATCACTATAGCCTGTGCTACATGGAGTCACAGTATATATGTCTACTGTCTTTGTCTTTTAAACATTCAGTGGCAAGATATAATGTGTGCAAGTTGGGGTTGAGTCGTACCGGCCCAGTCACTGACGCGCTTCACTGCTGTATGTACCAGACTATATTGTTCAAGTATGTTACATGCTCATCGTTTGTGTGTGTAATATGTAGTTTCTTTACTTATTCGGTGAGACTGAGAAATATCCGGTACATTTACAATTTTTTAAATTTTGCCCCTAGGGGCGAGTTTATTGGGCAGCGTCATAGGCTTACGGCCCGCGCAGGAATATCTCTGCAAAAAAAAAAAAAATATCCTGTAAGTGGTCATACCGCCATAGCATCATGGCCAACACTCCCCAATAGGAAGAAAACCCGCTGGGTTGTTCATCCTGTCACTTGTATCCCCTTCTTCTACAGAACCGACGGTACAGCACTGGTTTATAATACATCATATTTTGTCCGTTGGGGATTTTGACGTCACAATGCGATGTATTATATGAGAGGACAGGAGGAGGTCTGTAGAGATTATATTGCTGTTATGTACAGTAGCCTACGTCCTCGACTTACAACCGACGGACCAACATGTAATCCTCGGGTGGGACGGAAACAATTAGGCACGTTTTCTTTTACCTGATTCCGCTGTTCACATATTAGTAAACTAGGTAGCTGGGAATTTAACAGTTGTAAATTGAATTCTGGGGAAGACCAGCAGTTGGCCTACAGTACCTTACACCTCATGCTTCTGTTCACCTAGCAGTCAATAGGTATCCGGTAGTACCTATATATATATATATGTATAATAGGTAAAAAAAAAAAAAAAGGTATATATATATATATATATATATATATATATATATATATATATATATATATATATATATATATATGCGAACAAGCCTGAATGGTCCCCAGGACATATATATATATATATATATATATATATATATATATATATATATATATATATATATATATATATATATATATATATATATGAGAGAGAGAGAGAGAGGCTTCCTGTCCCCGAGAAGATGAATTCTTAGTAATATAATATTTCTACCTGGCAGCCCAAGACCCGAGTTGGGGTGGAGAGCTACGATGGTTCCCGCTCTCGCTACCGCCGGGACCGTGTTAGAGAACGGATAGCAGCCCGCCTCGCCTGGGAGACTGAGGTAAACGGTCGTCCCTCCCTAGTGTGTCGTCCCTGTTCTAGTGTGCTGTCCCTGCCCTAGTGTACCATCCCTGCCCTAGTGTAGCATCCCTGCCCTAGTGTACCATCCCTGCCCTAGTGTAGCATCCCTGCCCTAGTGTAGCATCCCTGCCCTAGTGTGCCATCCCTGCCCTAGTGTACCATCCCTGCCCTAGTGTAGCATCCCTGCCCTAGTGTACCATCCCTGCCCTAGTGTAGCATCCCTGCCCTAGTGTACCATCCCTGCCCTAGTGTACCATCCCTGCCCCAGTGTGCCATCCCTGCCCTAGTGTACCATCCCTGCCCCAGTGTACCATCCCTGCCCTAGTGTACCATCCCTGCCCTAGTGTACCATCCCTGCCCTAGTGTACCATCCCTGCCCTAGTGTAGCATCCCTGCCCTAGTGTACCATCCCTGCCCTAGTGTACCATCCCTGCCCTAGTGTACCATCCCTGCCCTAGTGTGCCATCCCTGCCCCAGTGTACCATTCCTGCCCTAGTGTGCCATCCCTGCCCCAGTGTACCATCCATGCCCTAGTGTAGCATCCCTGCCCTAGTGTACCATCCCTGCCCTAGTGTACCATCCCTGCCCTAGTGTAGCATCCCTGCCCTAGTGTACCATCCCTGCCCTAGTGTACCATCCCTGCCCTAGTGTACCATCCCTGCCCTAGTGTACCATCCCTGCTAGTGTGCCATCCCTGCCCTAGTGTACCATCCCTGCCCTAGTGTACCATCCCTGCCCTAGTGTATCCCTGCCCTAGTGTACCATCCCTGCCCTAGTGTACCATCCCTGCCCTAGTGTACCATCCCTGCCCTAGTGTACCATCCCTGCCCTAGTGTACCATCCCTGCCCTAGTGTTCCATCCCTGCCCTAGTGTACCATCCCTGCCCTAGTGTACCATCCCTGCCCTAGTGTACCATCCCTGCCCTAGTGTACCATCCCTGCCCTAGTGTGCCATCCCTGCCCTAGTGTACCATCCCTGCCATCCCCCTGCCCTAGTGTACCATCCCTGCCCTAGTGTACCATCCCTGCCCTAGTGTACCATCCCTGCCCTAGTGTACCATCCCTGCCCCATCCCTGCCCTAGTGTACCATCCCTGCCCTAGTGTACCATCCTGCCCTGCCCTAGTGTACCATCCCTGCCCTAGTGTACCATCCCTGCCCTAGTGTACCATCCCTGCCCTAGTGTACCATCCCTGCCCTAGTGTACCATCCCTGCCCTAGTGTACCATCCCTGCCCTAGTGTGTCCCTGCCCTAGTGTACCATCCCTGCCCCCTGCCCTAGTGTACCATCCCTGCCCTAGTGTACCATCCCTGCCCTAGTGTACCATCCCTGCCCTAGTGTACCATCCCTGCCCTAGTGTACCATCCCTGCCCTAGTGTACCATCCCTGCCCTAGTGTGCCATCCCTGCCCTAGTGTACCATCCCTGCCCTAGTGTACCATCCTGCCCTAGTGTACCATCCCTGCCCTAGTGTACCATCCCTGCCCTAGTGTACCATCCCTGCCCTAGTGTACCATCCCTGCCCTAGTGTACCATCCCTGCCCTAGTGTACCATCCCTGCCCTAGTGTACCATCCCTGCCCTAGTGTACCATCCCTGCCCTAGTGTACCATCCCTGCCCTAGTGTACCATCCCTGCCCTAGTGTGCCATCCCTGCCCTAGTGTACCATGTACCCTGCCCTAGTGTGCCATCCCTGCCCTAGTGTACCATCCCTGCCCTGTGCCAGTGCCCTAGTGTACCATCCCTGCCCTAGTGTACCATCCCTGCCCTAGTGTACCATCCCTGCCCTAGTGTACCATCCCTGCCCTAGTGTACCATCCCTGCCCTAGTGTTCCATCCCTGCCCTAGTGTACCATCCCTGCCCTAGTGTACCATCCCTGCCCTAGTGTGCCATCCCTGCCCCAGTGTACCATCCCTGCCCTAGTGTATCATCCCTGCCCTAGTGTGCCATCCCTGCCCTAGTGTACCATCCCTGCCCTAGTGTACCATCCCTGCCCTAGTGTACCATCCCTGCATCCCTAGTGTACCATCCCTGCCCTAGTGTACCATCCCTGCCCTAGTGTACCATCCCTGCCCTAGTGTACCATCCCTGCCCTAGTGTACCATCCCTGCCCTAGTGTGCCCTATCCCCCTGCCCTAGTGTACCATCCCTGCCCTAGTGTACCATCCCTGCCCTAGTGTACCATCCCTGCCCTAGTGTACCATCCCTGCCCTAGTGTACCATCCCTGCCCTAGTGTGCCATCCCTGCCCTAGTGTACCATCCCTGCCCTAGTGTACCATCCCTGCCCTAGTGTACCATCCCTGCCCTAGTGTACCATCCCTGCCCTAGTGTACCATCCCTGCCCTAGTGTACCATCCCTGCCCTAGTGTGCCATCCCTGCCCTAGTGTACCATCCCTGCCCTAGTGTACCATCCCTGCCCTAGTGTGCCATCCCTGCCCTAGTGTACCATCCCTGCCCCAGTGTGCCATCCCTGCCCTAGTGTACCATTCCTGCCCTAGTGTGCCATCCCTGCCCCAGTGTACCATCCCTGCCCTAGTGTACCATCCCTGCCCTAGTGTGCCATCCCTGCCCCAGTGTACCATCCCTGCCCTAGTGTATCATCCCTGCCCTAGTGTGCCATCCCTGCCCTAGTGTACCATCCCTGCCCTAGTGTACCATTCCTGCCCTAGTGTAGCATCCCTGCCCTAGTGTACCATCCCTGCCCTAGTGTACCATCCCTGCTCTAGTGTACAATCCCTGCCCTAGTGTGCCATCCCTGCCCTAGTGTACCATCCCTGCCCTAGTGTACAACCCCTGCCCTAGTTTTTTATCTGCATTGTGTAATCTTTCATATATAATAGGGTAGCAGTACATTGCTCCGAGTACCTAAGTTTGTTTATACAAAAAAATTTAAACATTCTTGAGTCTGTCCTGGAAGACAGACTAAAGCACGAGCCGTCAGCTTTACCAAAGAAAACAGTTCCATGAAGGGATGACTGCCTTAGAAAAACGCAATTACTCTTACAAGAATGATATGCTTCTCAACATATTTTGTTGGTGAACTATATGAAAAAGAAATGAGAATTATATTTTTAAATATAGTTTCAAATATGGTAACTTTTAAAATTTAGAGATACTTACACATAAAATTTAAGATAATAACCTGTCAAAATAGTGTATCGAAGGTATATATGAGGGAGGGGAGAGCTTTGACAAGCAGCCGGATTCCTGTCCTCCTCGAAGCCACTAGAGTGTTTGCGGCCCTCAGGTAAATTCTGGTAATACAGTATACTTATACACCATGGAGGGGGGGGGGGGAGAGACTGTTTCTCGGTTTATGGCAGGGTGACCCAGAGGTTAGTTTACCGTAATACAGTGTTATGTCAACCCATGTATACTCTATGAGTTTACTCCTTGTCTATGCTAAGGAATAAATTTTATTTGTTGGTTGTCAGTAAGGTATTGTGGTGGTCTTAATAACCCTCCAGAGGTTGATAGGTCTTAAGTCCAACACTAAACTTACTGGTTGGTCAGTAAGGTATTGTGGTGGCCTTAATAACCCTCCAGAGGTTGATAGGCCTTAAGTCCAACACCAAACTTGCTGGTTGGTCAGTAAGGTATTGTGGTGGCCTTAATAACCCTTCAGAGGTTGATAGGCCTTAAGTCCAACACCAAACTTGCTGGTTGGTCAGTAAGGTATTGTATTGGTCTTAATAACCCTCCAGAGGTTGATAGGCCTTAAGCCCAACACCAAACTTGCTATTTGGTCAGTACACCGTTGTCTGTCCGTTGTGGCAACTTAAGAGGCCGGTGTGTATATATAGGGATAACCGGAATGTGGTTGCTATTTATTATAGTTAGCGCTTGTTTTTCAGTTTTCTTTTTATTTAAGTTTGTTTTTGGAGGGGTAGACTGCATCAATATGCAGTGCTTTCTTCCCACCATATTGATCGCCACGCTCCTAGCATATATTGATCCTCGTTCTCTCCTGGCGTATTGATCATCACTCTCTCTCCTAACTTATTGATCGTGACTTTCCTAGCATGGTGATCACCACTCTCTCCTAGCATATTGATCCTGACTTTCCTAACATATTAATAATCGCTCTCTCTCTCCTAGTATATTGATACTAACTTTCCTAGCATACTGATCATCATTCTCCTAGCATATTGATCCTGACTTTCCTATTATATTGATCATCACTCTCTTTCATCATCACTCCTAGCATATTGATAGGGATTTTCCTAGCATATTGATAATCATTCTCTCTCCTAGCATATTGATAGGGACTTTCCTAGCATATTGATCAGCACTCTTGGGCGATTGCAAATTCGAATACTTTTTCTAAAGCAAGGAAGATCAATATATGTATGAGCATGTGTTAACTGCTCCTAGCAACATTGCTATGCAGTTGATGATTCTATTCTAATAGTGATGGTCTAGGGCTAGGCTACTGTCTTCCACAGTAGCCTATCTTGAGGTTATCTTGAGACGATTTCGGGGCGTAGCGTCCCCGCGGCCCGGTCCTCGACCAGGCCTCCTTTTTGTTACACACCCCCAGGAAGCAACCTGGGGGGGTGTCTAACTCCTAGGTACCTATTTACTGCTAGGTAACAGGGGCATTAGGATGAAAGAAACATTTTGCCCATTTGTCTCCGCCTCCACCGGGGATCGAACCCGGAACCTCAGGATTACGAATCCGAAGCGCTGTTCACCCAGCTGTCAGGCGCCTAGACCATCCTAGACCTAAACAGATAGCCTAGACCATCAGTTCTGCTGTTTTACTAATGCATGATTGTGATAAAATGGGTCTGCAATTGCCAAGTTCTTTGGGCTTAGGACTTAAAATTATGTCTGTCTTCTTTCAAGAGGTAGATAGTTTATCTGTCTCTTAAGATGCTCTGATGACGTTCAATATATCATCCCTTGTTCTCCAGCAGGACCTGCATGTGCGATCATTATTTAATTTAGGAAGGTGATTCTAAGGTTGGGATAGCCA